GCTACAATAAAAAGGCCCTCTAACGAGGCGACACAGCGTTAATCGATCCATCACGTAATCAGATGTTGTTGGTGATAGACTTTACCTCACGAAGGCCTTTTCCGATTTTCTTTTTACTCTCGCTCCACTTGATCGCACCTTGCATATTATCTGCACTGATGACGATGCCTTGACCTCCTGTCGTTCGATTGTGGGTAAGAAGGTACTTGAAACGACCCGAACGGAACACTCTTCCAACTCCAGAGATGATGGCCTCAAGTTGTATGCAAGAAACTGTATTGCGCATGTTAGCATTTAAATGGGTTTGCGATCTGGAATGCATCATACCTTGCCGGAAAGTCATTCCCGTTGATGTGTCCGTCCCTGGCCGAGCACTTTTACTGGTTTGGTATTTCGGTGGACCACTACAAGCACTTTTTAGCAATCACCCAATTTTGTGGCAGTACTTGGTGAAGCCAACCACACTCTAGCTGCTCTTTTAGCACAATGACGAGCTATTGTTCCTTACGGATATTGTTCTTCGTTGCAGATGTGCGAGAGGGAGATCGATTTATTCTTTCATAATCGATAACGATTCTATTGATAACGCCGTGAGAGGTATGGACGTATAACGGATGCTGTATTGTAGAATTGGTAGCGATTTACGGGATACACAGGAAGAAATTTGCTGACGAATTTTGTCGGCATTATCTCGAAAAGTGTAACACAACATCATTCAAACGGCAACGAAATTTTTGCGATTGTGCACAGTCGCAAAAATTTCGTCTGATTTGTGACGATCAGATTTTGAAAAGGCTGATTGTTCCTTAATCTAAACAATATCGAAAAGATCTTCTCCAAGTTGGACATCGAGTTTTGTGGCGATAGTTCATTACGGTACTTCAATACACTTCTCGTGACAGATCAAACCAAGTAACTAGCTTCTTCACCGCTGTTGAGCATAGCGGAAAATCTCTAAAACTACATTGCTTATTCTAACCTATTCCTAGGGCCAATCGCGTCTTCAATATCTGAGTTACGAATTAGTAGTTGGGCGCCAGAAATTTTGCCGAGAAAATACAATGTTGAGGTCTGTCACGGTAACTAATCTCTAGCTGAGTGGCATTGGATGTATTGATTGAGTAATAAATAGTTTGAATAACACATTGACTATTTATTGCGTAATTTTGAGCGTTTTTTCCGACTGTTTTCAACGCAGAGGGGGGCGATTTCTCACGATTCGCTAAACGGGTCGTGTGGTTGCGCTTCTTTATCCGGTGGCTGCTCGTCTACCAAGCGTTGACGTGGACGAGGCTGATGGATGGTTAGTTTGGTGGACTGTTTCTCTACTAGTTGTTGGGCCTTCGAGTCGGTCAGCAATACAGGTTTTGTTGGCGTGGTTGCTCGTAGTCAGTAGGTGGAACTGCGTACATAGCTGGAACTGCCGAAGGTTAATCTGCCTTGATATCCTTCGAATGGTAGACACCGGTTTTCGATGACTTTATGTCTTCCAATAGGTAATTGTTGCACCCTTGGACCTGCCGTACGATGCAGGGTATGAACTTCGCACCAAGCTTTTTCGTTCGATGTTCAGCTGCGTTCGACAATTCGAACGATCGTCTCCATACTATTTCCCCGACGGCAAATCCTCGGTTTCGTGCTCGGAGGTCGTAGCGCTGCTTGCTGGTGTCGTGGGCTGCCTTGATTCTGGATAATACGAAGTGTTGTATGTTATGTACAGCTGTGACTCGTACTTTGTGTGCCTTGACGGGATCTACCACGGAATTCAGCTTGGCCTGTGGATATTGGTCTGTGAACAGGATGTGATCTCTCCTGAAATTGCAGTAGTTAGGGCTACAGCCGAGAGCTTCGTGCTTCGCTGAGTTGATTGCGTAGACCACTTGCTGAATGTGCACATCCCATTCCCGGTGATCATCGTCCAGGAGGGATCTTACGCAGGTTATCAGCGTGCGGTTGGTCCGCTCGGCAGCGTTGCACATCGGTGTGTAAAATGCGGTCCTCATGTGGATTACGTTGTATCTTTTGAGCAATGTTTGGAATACCTGGGAGAGAACTGGCGATCCAGAGTCGGAAATCCAAGAAACACGTATTGCTCCAGAAAATCAGACATTTTCTGGGCGTTTGCTGTGCGAAATGGTTCCGTGATGACGAATTTAGTTACCCAATCAACAATCACTAGAAGTACCGTGTTCCCCTTTTTCGAGCGTGTGAGAGGACCTACCCAATCAATTGATATCAGCTCCCATGGTAATTGAGTATTGGGTGCCTTGCTGGCCTTGCACACGTCACAGGCTTGTACATATTTGCGGATGTCCGTTGCCATTTGAGGCCAGTAGAAGTCTCGTTGAATGCGATGAATAGTGCGATCGCACCCGAGGTGAGCTGCAGTGGGAATATCATGATATCATGAATATCATCCAACGGTGACATTTGCCTCCGGTTTCGTCTTTCATGATGCAGTTTTTATATAGATTTTCTCCGATGATCCGAATCCAATTGAACCTCCTTCATCAGCATATCGAACCACAGATCTGAAATTCCTTGATGAGCAGCGGTTACCGCGTTGACTATCTCCACTCGACCTAGGCAATCAGAAACGACATTTGAACTTCCTTTGCGAAACTTTATATCGAAGGAGTATGCATTCATACGAAGAATCCATCAAGCTAGGAGTGGTGTGGGGTTTTTCATCGTCTTCAGGTAGGTTAAGCTTGAGTGGTTGCAGTACACTGTGAAATTCGTGCCTTCCAGGTATCCTCGGAACTTCTCGATGGACCGGATCACCGCCAGACACTCCCGTTGTGTCACTGAATACTTTCTTTCGGCTGATGAGAGTTTCTGTGAGAAATAGGAAATTACCTTCTCACCTTCCTCGTGATCTTGTGTTAGCACTCCTCCTATGACAACGTCACCTGCGTCACAAGCGACTGCGAATGGCTTGGAATAATTTGGAGTTGCCAATACTGGTGCCGAAATGAGGTGAGATTTAAGTAACTGGAAATCTTTCGTCCATCTGAACTTTGTTTTTTCCTTCGTGAGCTCTGTAAGCGGGGTGGCGGTTTGCGAGAAGTTTTGAATAAATGATGAAGCGTTGATCCTCCTTTTTCGTGTACTTCAAACTTTTCCTGCAAAATACCGACTTCTCCGCGTTGATTGTTAGTTCTGCGCTCTCCAGTCTCCGTGCGATTTTCTCCAAGAGATCCAAATGGTTAAAAATTGCACAATACCCCTCAAGTTTTCTAAATTTCTCAAGTTTGCTTGACACCTGTGAAGATCTTGGATTTACTTACTTGGAAAACCCAGATAATTTTATCCAGAAAAAATGAGTAGACATCCTGTATATGGAGAAAGACGATTAAATGTTACAACGCAAAGAAAATCAATCTTGAAATAAATTCAAAGTTGAAAATAGTGACTTCATACAAGAAAAAGTGACTTTAGTGACTTGGCCTTAACAAAAAGAGACTTTTTAGTGACTGACTTGAAAAAAGTGACCAAGTCAATAAAAAGTGACTCGCTACCAGCCCTGTTTGACGGATATGAGTGGATCCCACTCAAATTTGGGATGTTTACACGGCGAATGAGAACGACCCAAATTTGAGTTTAGTTCACTCATAATCGCCAAAAGTGCAGGAACTCAGCGATGAGTAAAATTTGTCTCATGGTTTTCTGTGGAAAACCTAAGAAATATGCCGGAAAATTAGGAAATTGACGAAAATGTTATTCAGTCTCGGAGTAGTACCAATAGACTGAGTGAATCCACTCGACACTTTTCTCGAATTCGGGAATTTTTCCCTGGAAAATCCTGGGAAAACATGAGGCAAATTTACTCATCGCTGAGTTCCTGCACTTTTGGCGATTAGGAGTGAACTTAACTCAAATTTGGGTCGTTCTCATTCGCCGTGTAGAAATTCTGTCGTCAAAACAAACTTTACGGAAAATGAATTTAACTCACATTTGAGTACCGTTCACTCATATTTGCAAAAACGTACACGCTATTTCAAAACTACCCAAATTTGGTAGAATCCACCCTGATCGGTCACCACTGAACCTACCAAAAAATGGGTAAACTATGTTGGGAGTGACAAGTTGACAAATGGACAACTTATCATTTGTCAACTTGTCACCCCGAACATAGTTTTTCCCATTTTCGGGTAGTTTCAGCTTTGACTGATCTGGGTGGATTCTTTCAAATTTGGGTAGGTTTGAAATAGCGTGTAGGTCACTCAAGATGTCAATCATTCAAGGTCTGGAGCAACAGGTAGCTTGCTGGTGTTAGAAGTAAAAATGTTGCGAACATTGCTGAGCAAGCGAATCACGATGACACGGCAGCACAACATTCCATACTGTGAACGGCAGACGTGTCGTCACAGAAAACAGCTTTTTCATGACGATGAAATACGAGCATCACATAACATTTCACTAATATAAGCCTTGTATAATTGACATCGGGTCACTCATAGAATTACGTCTTTCGGGCAACATATTGGGGTGCAATTTCAAAAAACCAAAATCGACCGCGTTACGAAAAGTGGTTAGGTTTTGACCACTCATAATTCTGTCAATTGCGGATGGATATTAATTCTAAACAAGCCAATCGATTGAAATGTCATCTATGAATCTGCTAAACTGAGCATTATCAATTTTAAAAAGGTGCTTTGAAAATTGCACGAATGTGCAACTGTTGCTGTAATAATGCAAAATTATCACCGATTGACTGCGAAATACGCTTTCCCTAACACAGATTTAAAAATCGAATTCACTCCGGTCTAACTGAATGGTGTTTATTCAATCACCACGTGTGGTACCTACACTTGCAATACACGATATAGAGGGCCCAGGCGGTAGCTTAATGTTAATTTATTCCAAAGCATAGCAAGATTTTTAAGGAGCTTCAAGTTGCAAAATGAACCAATTTCACGAAACCATCAAATCTTAAAGTGATACCGATGAAATAATGCTTCTGAAAACATTCACCTCACGTTTTAGTTCAAACTCACCTGAAAAACTCCCGGTTTCCTTTGTACCACTTGACTGAGTTGAGCTTCTGCGACCCCAGATCGTAGGAACAGGACAGTGAAACCGTCGCCCGATAGTCCGCAACTTCCGGCACGGTGATGTCGGTCAATCGCAGGGCACCCACCTGCCGGCATTCTGTAACGGAAATAGACGAGAGACGAGAATTATGCTTCCAATTATGACGTTTAATTTGCTCAACACAACATAATAACACAGACAAACCGATGTAGCTTCTCTCGGAAAACAAGCTTGTTCGCTAAGGTCTATAAAGAAACGTAAACGATGATTCAGATGCAGAATGTACAGTTATTTCTGTTTGTCTGTGATAAGAAGCTTTTGAGTTGTGTTCGTTCGCTCCAATGATTATCCGTGTTGACATCGATACTACAGCGTAATGGCACTGATTTCCGAGGAAAACATAGCATAGGTACATTTCAAAAGGCAGCAAACAACTCTGTCACTTCAATAACTCCCGCGACGGCAATCGACTGACAGTTTTAAATGCTCGTCGGTGAATGACTCTCCCGTCAGCCTTCTGCTGCTGTTGTATTCCAACTCCAACGAACAGTTAACATGGCGACAACAGTGAAATAACGCCACGTTTATAAAATTTATTTACCAATCAGATTCACGATTTTGCTCGAAGGGAAATAAATTTCCCTTTGTTGGCCCCAATTCAATGATCTCTGTGGGAACAGTAATTGCAGACGTAAGTTTAATCACTATTGAGGGAGAGTGATCGATTGGGTTTCACTGTGGGTCGTTTTTCCATCAAACTGAGCTTCAAAAAAACTGCTTCCCAGACTGACACTGTAGCCATAAAGGAATTTTACCTTATTACAGAGGACACGTGTCGTGCAATTGTGAAGCTGGAATGCTTTGAAATTTGTCCCTTTCGCTATTGTCCCTCGTTCTGGGAAAAAGTTGACTCCGCGCGACAGTCAATAGAAAAATGTCTCGACATGAAGACGAAATTCCCATTACTGCTGTACGAGTGTGTCATTTAAAATTTCAATATCGGCCTGCTGACAAGCGGATGAAAGTGGGTTGACAACCGTCTCCTTTCCAGTTCGGATGGGAAAATCACTACTGCGTTCAATTGTGATACAATTACACATCCCATCATCGTTTTGGCACCACCACCAAGACCTTTCATCGGAAAATTGATAACATCTGCCGAGATGCCCAGGTCCAGACAAACGGACCTCCTTTTCCAGAAGGACCCGTCAAATCCATCAAAGGTGAGAAAATATTCATTCCAGCCACGTGCGCCCCATCCGACAGGTACGACTCGAACGTGCCGGGGTGTATCGATGTGTAAATTGTCCCACATGTCTCACAACAGCCAACCCGTCCACTGGCTTGAAGGCCTTCAATATCAATACCCGACAATGACGACGACGACGACGACGACACGATTGCAAAATGATTCATTAGTGTAGTCGATCGGTGTCTGCATGCAGCGATGCTTGAATATTCGCATTCATCGTGAAAAATTGTCACGTCTCAGGGCTTGCAAATGCGACACATTCTCGCTTTCTGTATCATGATGTATGTATTTTTTTTTTGTTGGTGCTCCACCTCTAAACGAGCATGATACCGTTTTTTTTTTACCGCACATCTTTGACATGCATCGTGCTCACCTTCCTTTCCATATTCCTATACCAATTTCCCTTTATTGCTTGTATGACGTGAGCATTTGAATTTCATCGAGCATTGAAAAGCACTTCGACAGATGAGCAACAGTAGGAAAATGTATTCGGCTGATTGATATGTGCCGAGAATGAGAGATGGAAACTGCCGCCGTCGGAACGCATCGAAAAGGAAGGGAAAACCGGTGCCGGCTGTTGATCACACGGCTGTTGATTGCTATATGGATGGTGAACTGGGGAAGATGAAGCTATTGTAGCTGTTTGATTTTTTTTTCTCCAGTGGACAACATTAATTTTACGGAATATGTATATCAAGAAACCGTTTCTCATTCTTGACAAGTTTAATTTAGATTGCCGTAAAGGAATATTTCAATTCTAATACTGTACTGGAAGCGGTTGATAATCATCAAGAGAAACCTAAAGATTCACAAAACCAAAGAATTGGTAACCCTTAGAATCAACCGATTTTAGATGGATAATCTGAATTTACAGCTGAGAAAATCCAAGTCAGCAGGGCCGTTTTTTCCACTTTCTTTTTTTTTCTGAGCGTGGGACCTTAAAGCCTCGTTAGTATTTTTTTTTTGGATCAGCATAGATGACTGTACCAAGGATACAAATACTCATTTCAGATTAAAAAAAAAATGATTTTTGGAATCATGAAGTCATAGAATGATCATATTTTAAAATACAAAAAAAGGTTGCCATGTTTTTGTTTTGCACATATGCAACTTGTCAATTTCGTTTTCTGAGAGTCCAATCGACGAATCCGCGATCACAAAATCAATGATTGTGACTCGTAGAAAGCATAATTGGCAGGTTTTATTTGTCAAATATATACAATTTAAAGGTCTTTTTGTGTAATAAGCAAAAGATTTGATCATACCGTGAATTCGTTATTAATAAAAAAAACTATGGGGTTGTACGCAATGGTGACGTGGTCTTAAGCAATAAATGTTATTTGTTAACTTCAGCAGTGTTTTGTGTAGGAATATGAATTTGAGTGGGGTTCTCTCTGTTTCTACTCTTTAGTATGACGCGCTTAGCATAGATGGCCCACAGCGACTCACAAAGAGCTACTGATTCCGATCAGTAGCGGTGCGGCTTCTTCCTCCTTCCATGGTTGCTCATGTGGGCTGCATCTTGCTGCTTGCAGGCAGCATTTCGTTGTGTACCGGATGGAACTCAACTTTGAAATCTGTGTTAGGGAAATGGCTTTTCGCAGGCAATCGGTGATAATTTTAATTAAAGGGTGATACGGTCAAAATTTGGTCAATATCAACTTGACGTATTTCTTTCAATTTTGCATTTAAAAAACCTGAACACCCCTCATTTTGAAGGTGTGTGTGTGTAGAATGTTGCTCCTATTTTGATTTTGGAATTCACTCTTCAGTTGTCAAAATGCCGTCCAAGCAAGAAGAGCAGCGTATCAAAATTTTGCTCGCGCATCGCGAAAATCCGAGCTACTCGCACGCAAAGTTGGCAAAATCGCTAAAAGTTGCCAAATCAACCGTTACAAATGTAATTAAAGTGTTTGGGGAACGTTTGTCGACAGCCAGGAAGTCTGGATCGGGGGGAAATCGAAAACCGGAAGCCGCTGAGACGACAAAGAGAGTTGCCGGTAGTTTCAAGCGAAACCCTAACCTCTCTCTCCGAGATGCCGCAAATAAGCTGGGTGTATCGTCTACAACCGTACATAGAGCCAAAAAACGAGCCGGACTATCGACTTACAAGAAGGTAGTGACTCCAAATCGCGATGATAAACAAAATACGACGGCCAAAGCGCGATCCCGGAGGCTGTACACGACGATGCTGACGAAGTTTGACTGCGTGGTAATGGACGACGAAACCTACGTCAAAGCCGACTACAAGCAGCTTCCGGGACAGGAGTTTTATACGGCAAAAGGAAGGGGAAAGGTAGCAGATGTTTTCAAGCACATGAAACTGTCAAAGTTCGCAAAGAAATATCTGGTTTGGCAAGCCATCTGTACCTGTGGCTTGAAAAGCAGCATTTTCATAGCTTCCGGGACTGTCAACCAAGAAATTTACGTGAAAGAGTGTTTGAATAAACGTCTGCTGCCTTTCCTGAAGAAACACGGTTGTTCCGTACTGTTTTGGCCGGATTTGGCATCTTGCCATTACGGTAAAAAGGCCATGGAGTGGTACGCCGCCAACAACGTGCAGGTGGTTCCCAAGGACAAGAACCCCCCCAACACGCCAGAGCTCCGCCCAATTGAGAAATACTGGGCTATTGTCAAGCGGAACCTAAAGAAGACCAAAAAAACTGCTAAGGGCGAGCAGCAGTTCAAGGCAAACTGGCTTTCTGCGGCGAAGAAGGTGGACAAGGTGGCTGTACAAAATCTGATGGCAGGGGTCAAGCGTAAGGCCCGGCAATTCGGATTTGGAAAAGCGGAAGCTTAACTGAATATTTTTCCTGAATTTTATACTAATTGAACTTGAAAAAGAAATTTAATTTGATTTTTTAAATAAACGATTTCACCGATTTACACGCGTTTTCCCTTGACCAAATTTTGACCGTATCACCCTTTATCATAGCAACAGTTGCTAAAGTTTTAAATTCAACAGATTCGTAGACATATTGCTAATCGAATGGCGATAAAGTTATTGAAATTGGTCCAGGGCCAGCTGAGTTATTAACGTTTCTAATCTTTCATAATTTTGTTACATGTTACATTTTCAGTTTTTGTGTACCCTCATATATAAATTACAGACGTAGTCTACGTCAAAAAAAAAAACAAGCAAAAATGGTGTTCAACTCTCAAACTCTCCACTTATTTATTTATTCATTTATTTATGTTATGGTCAACAGGTAAAATATTCACCCCAATGACAGTGTTATCGCTATCACATTTCGGAATTAGGGAATCAGTGTTCTTGAGAGGAGTTAGAACTATACAACTTTATTCTCCATCGAGTATAAGTTACAACGATATTCGGCGTGATGTGTACTGTTGTTTATTCCAGATACTGATGAAGACTAATATAATTTGGGCTATTCCTATCGGTTTTACTTCGTAAAGCGCGAAGATGAGTAGGTAGAAAATTGTAATTTGTTCGTAAATTGCTGATAGCGATCGAGCAGTTTGATCCGTCCGTAAACTATGTTGTGCGTAAACATGCCGGCCACCGTTAAAAATGCGTCTTTTGAAACTGATATTTTGCTTAGATTCCTCATTGGCTAGCTGCTAGATAATGAACTATGAAAATCCAATCCTACTCCTAATCTAGCCTAATTCAATTGGCAATTTGTTGTTTGGAATTCACTTGAGACATAATGTTCTTTGGTACTATTTCTCTGACTCCATTGTTGGAATGTTTTGCTTCTCCTCCGGTGCACAAGTGATCGTGCTACATTTGCCATCGTCCCTGTCGGGTTCTTCTCGTCGGGTTGTTTACTTCTGCTTCGAGCGTCATCGTCTTCTCTAACCATCGGGAGCACGTGTTGACCTTGACCGAGAGTTTACG